AAGAACCTATACACCCCAATGTTGACAGCAGCACAATTTACAATAGCCAAGTGCTGGAAGCAACCTAAGTGCCCATCAGTAAATGAATGGATCCAAAAACTATGGTACATTTACATGATGGAATACTACACAGCAGAAAAAAAAGAAGGGGCTCCTAGCCTTTACAACAGCATGGATGGAACTGGAGAGCATTATGCTAAGAGAAATAAGCCAGGGGGTGAAAGACAAATACCATATGATCTCACCTTTAAGTGGAAGCTAATCAACCAAACAAGCAAGCAAAATATAACCAGAGACATTGAAATTAAGAACAATCTAACAGTAAGCAGAGAGGAGGTAGGGGAGGATAATGAGGAGAAAGGAGGAAAGGATTTTCAGGAACAACTATAAAAGGTACATGGAGAAAACCAAGGTGGGGTGGAATCAGTGGAGGGAAGTGGGGATGGCTGGAGTGGCGGGGGAGTGGTGGAGGAAAAATGCAGACAACTGTACTTCAACAACAATAAAATAAAAAAGAAGTAAACAGTCAACCAATACCGAATGAAGACAGAAGAATTAAAAAGAAAAATGAGGTGAAAATAAGAAGACTTTGGAAACCTCTAAAAGACCAACATCCAAATCACAGGGATGGCAGAAGGAGAAGAGGAAGAACAAGAAATTGAAAACTTATTTGAAAAAATAATGAAAGAAAACTTCCTTAAATTGATGAATAAAATAGACATAAAAGGCCAGGAGGCTCAGAGATTCCCAAACACATTGGACCCAAAGAGGACCACACCAAGACACATCATAACTAAAATGCCAAAGGTTAAAGATAGAGAGAATCTTAAAAGCAGGAAGAAAAAAGTGGAGAGTTACCTACATAGGAGTTCGCATTGGACTGTCAGCTGATTTCTCAAAAGAAACTTTGCAGGCAAAAAAGGACTGGCAAGAAGTATTCAAAGAGTTGAAAAGCAAGGACCTACAACAAAGATTACTCTATCCAATAAAACTATCATTTACAATGGAAAGGCAGAAAAAGTGCTTCCCAGATAAAATCAAGTTAAAGGAGTTCATCATTACCAAGCACTTAATACAGGAAATGTTAAAAGGACTTATCTAAGAAAAAGAAGAAGATCAAAGCTAAAAAAATATCTGAGAAAAACAAACAGGAAGAACAGAATCACAAATTATCACATGAAGGGTTATCAGCAGGGAGTGGGAAGTGGAAGAATGGGAGAAAAGGCACAGGGAATCAGAAGTATAATTGGTAGGTACAAAATACACAGGCAGGAAGATAAGAATAGTATGGGAAATGGAGAAGCCATTATGTAGCCTATAGGAGAAGCCTACATGAGAGATTTTATATGTGTATCCCATACATATAAACTAAGGGCTGGGGGAATGCAGGAGGGAATGGATGTACCAGGAAGAGGGAGTTATAAGGGAGAAAAATATGGGACAGCTGTAAATAGCATATTCACTAAAATATACTTAAAAATAAAAATAAAAGGTCAGTCTTTAAAAAACAAGGGTGACATATCCTTGTCAGGTGGCCTGCTCCTTTTGCTGGTAGCAGGGAGGGAAGGAGCCCTGCATGGGGCACAGTGGAAGCTCTTCCTCCGGGTCACCTGAGAACTAGCTCATGATGGAGCCAGGGGCTGCTGCTCTGACTGACTTCTGTGTCCTTTCCTGTTGCCCGGGAGGGTGGGCCTGGACATAGGTGTGACCAGGAAAATCCAGAAAACCTGCAGGGTGGAGGAAGCACAGCAGAGCAGGACAGTGCAGATGGAGTGAAGGAGGAGGAAGATGAGGGACATGGAAGGAGCAGCGAGGGGCTGAGATGATTTTGTGAGCAGTGGGGGTGACACGTGACTCAAAAACCTCCAGGGCCCTGACTGGTGTGTCTCAGCTGGTTGGAGCATTGTCCTGTGAAGGAAAAGATCATGGGTTTGAATCCTGGTCATGACACATGCCTAGGTTGTGTACTTCATCCCTGGTTGGGGTGCATGTGAGAGGCCCCATATCAATGTGTCTCTCTGTTCTCTCCCTCTGTCTCTCCCTCTCCTCCACTGCCTCTAACATCAATAAGCACTCCTCAGTAAGGATAAAACAAACAAATCAAAAAACAACAGCAACAACAAAAACCCCTGCAGGAACCGAGAGCCCACAGTTGCCCCAGGGCAGGTCCAGTGCAGCCCAGAAAACCCTCCCACATCCCAACAGCCCCAGAGCCAGTAGGAGACTTGGCTCCTGGGAAGCATTTGGGACACGTGGTCATAGATATGGAGCCTGGGTCTCAGCCCTGGAGGGAGAGGGAGCAGGTATGTCCAAAATCTCCTAGCACTCTATCCAGTCTGTGAAGAGATTCTGCGTCACTCATTCCTTTATTTATTTACATTCCACACCTTCCCTCCTTCATGAATGAGCAATTGAGTGCTGGCCCCTGAGCTGGATGTGAGTGTAGAGTGAGGAGTGAAAAAAAAGGGCTTGTCCTTTCCTTCATATCCAGTGGGAGTGACGCCAACACATCAGGAAAGAAGTAAGTGATTTCAAGTCCAGAGCAAAAAGGTGTGGATCGGCCACTTGAGGGGGAAGTCTGGGTGTTCCCAGCATGGACTCTGAATGTTCACGAAGGTAATTTTGTTGCAGAGTAAAAATTAATTAATTCTCTATTTGCTGTCACTCCCCAGACCAGAAAATCTACCTCGAGTGGGGATGTCTAAGAAGAAGGGACCTGAACCAATGGCTGGTCTTGGGGGCCCACAGACCCCCGAGGTGGGCAAGAGGGTCAAGCTCTGCTTATACAAGATCCTTGCTGTGTCTGATCTGCTGCTCATGGTCTGTGTCACCCTGATCCAATGACTGCATCACACCAAGCCTCAGTTTCCCCTGGATGAATACGGAACAAATGGTAAAAAGGATTATGTATTCTCATTTGGTCTGTGAATAAACCTTAAAACATCCTCAAATATTTGACCAAAATTTAGTATGGAGAAGCTGCCTCCAAAATGGCAACTGATACTATTTCTCTCAAAGACAGAAAATCTCTAGGTAGTTTCCTGGTGGAGGAGTAGCTGTCAGGAACATATTTCCTGCTCCTCTGTGGGTACGCTGACCATCCACTGGAGTCTTCTGTGTCCCCCAGGGCATTCAGCTAAAGGTCCTGGGAACTTGTCTACCTGTGCCCTCCACACACTGTCTCAGGTGAAGGACGAGGCTCCATCTCTGCCCTAATGTGGCTGTTGGGGCTGAGCCCTCACCAGTGACCAGCTCAGGAGCCTTGGGCATAGAGCTCCCCAGTAGACCGAACCCGCCCTGACACAAACCTGCCCAGGATCTCTGCAGCCAGCATGGTTGGGACAGGGTTCTGGGGAGGGGCTCCTGGGCTGAGCTTCTCTGTGAGGATCCCAAGGGCCTCCTCAGTCCAGGCACTGACCAAGACCTGCAGGGTCTTTCTCAGGGTCATTGTCATGTGGAGGGTCCAGGGAGCTGGACTGAGACTGGTCTCTTTCTGCTAGGTCATTCCCATCTGACTGGTCCTTCTCTCTGTGATGAACATCTCCAGGGCTGTATTTCTGGAAGGGAACTCTTGATAAGGGATTCTCATCCAAAATGCATAAAGAACTTATACAACTCAACAGCAGGAAGACAAAAAATTCCTACTAAAACATAGGCAAAAACCCCTGAATTCATATTTCTCCAAAGAAGACTTTGAGATGACCAACTGACATATGAAAAAATACTCAAAATCATTAATCATCAGAAAGATGCAAATTAATACCACAATGAGGTATCCTCTCACACCTGCCAGAATGTCCACCATCAGTGAATCAACAAATAACAAATGGAACCTTACTGCACTGTTGCTGGGAACACAGACTGGTGCAGTCACTGGGAAAACAGTATGGAGTTTGCTCAAAAATTAAAAATGGAAATTGCTTTTGACCCAGTGATTTCACTTCTGGGAACATATCCTAAGAATTAAAAAAAAAAACAATTTGAAAGAATATGTGCACCTTGTACCTCTATAGTTATAGCCACATTATGTCCAACAGCCAAGATCTGGAAACAGCCCAAGTGTCCATCAGCAAAAGGTTGGATAAAATAGCTGTGGTGCATTTACACAAGGGAATACTCTGAGACCATAAAAAGGAAGAACTTCTACCTTTAGCAACAGCATGGATGGACCTGGAGATTATTGTGCTAAGTGAACTAAGCCAGTCAGAAAAAAAAAACAAATATCATAGGATCTCACTTCCATGTAGATTCTAATGAACAAAATAAACTGATGAACAAAGTAGAAACAGAGGCATGGACACATAAAACAGGCTGGCTGACAGCTGTCTGATGAGAAAGGAAAGGGGCAACTGGATAAAAGGTGAAGGGATTTTCCAAAGAAAAGGTATGCATAGCCCACAGACACAGTCAACAGTGTGTGATGGCCAGAGGGAATGAGGGTGGGGGCCAGGTGGAGGTGGGTGCAGGGAGAGAGATGGGAACATCTGTAATAATGCCAACAATAAACACAAAGTTAAAAATATTTCAGATTCTTTTAGCATCAAAAAGAATAAATAAAACACATTCATTGTGTTTATAAAAACCACAATCATACTATGAAAGAGACTCAAAAGCCATCCCTAAATATTCTTTATTGGAGGTGACAGTACCAACTCCTTACCCTAAAAGCCATGGTTTTTAAGAACAGTGTCCAGCCTGGGTCCTGTTTCCCCAGCAGGAATGAGTGTCCAGGGATAAGGGAAGCCCCCTCTGCACAGGAGGTGCCTGCATCTCAGGGTAGGAAGGAGCAGACAGTCAGTGACTGCCTTTGTGTCTCAGACAATACAGTGGGTCAGCGCAGGAACAGGGCAGGGGATGCAGCAGTGCAGCTGGGACACCTAAGTGTCTGACACCTGCAGACACTTGGGTGTCCCATCAGGTTCCCACAGGAACTGAGGGGCTATGAAGTTAATACTGGGAGACAGAACTCTCTATTTGTACTGGAAATGAGTTTTGTTTTGTTTTGTTTTGTTTTGTTTTGTTTTGACTGATAGAGTACATTCGTTTCTTGTGGCTGAAATAATAAATTTCCACAAATTAAATGGCTTAATATTTTAAAAAGTTATTCTCTGGCATTCTGGAAGTCAGAAATCCAAATCAAAGTATGGGCAAGACCACGTTTTCTCCACAGGTTCTAGGAGACATTCCATTCCTTTTCTCTCCATCCTGAGTGGCTGCTGGGATTCCTTTCTTGTGGCTGCATCACTCCCATCTCTGCTTCCATCTACACATGGCCTTCTCCTCTGCGTGCCATTTCATCTTCTGTTTCTTAGAAGGAACATATCATTGGATTTAGGACTCATGCAGAACACCCAGTATAATCTCATCTTGAAATCTTTAACTTAATTATATTGTCAAATAACCCATTTCAAACTTAGGTCACATTCACAGGTTCCAGAAGTGGGATGTGAACATATTTTGGGAGGAACTCCCCCTCAATTCTCTACAGGCAACCTGGTTCTTTGGTACTGTCTATGCTGCCATTTGGTGTGTTTCCCCGTGGGGCTTCATCCATGGGGCCTCCCTGAACATTTCAATGAATGCCATGGGATTTAGGCCTGCAGCTTACAGAAGTGGGCCACACAAAGGAGAAAGAGAGAGAGATACTATGAAATAAGTTCCAGACAGACCCAGACAAGGGCCCCCAGACCACCCACCTAGGCCCTGCAGAGACTCAAGTTTGCAGCAAAAGGAGGGCTTTCTATATTGATATCACATGCACTGTGAAGCCCGTGCTTAGACCGTGACTACAAAAATGTCACAAAACATATGGGGACATGCACAAAAATGAAAATGGATAAACTGGACCTCATCAAACTTTTGTGCTTCAGAGAACCTCATTAAAGAAATAAAAGAAAAACCCACAGAATGGGCAAAGAAATCTGCAAACCATCTATCGTATAAGGGACTTGTACCAAGAATATATGCTAAATGACATGCAGAACTGAGAATAGGGAAAACAAAATTATCTCAGCATAAAATCTGCAAAGCATATGAATAAATAGATGTCCAAAGAAGACATGCCTAAGACCAATAAGAACAGAAAAATGCTCTACATCATTAGTCATAACTGAAATGCAAATAAAAACTACAACAAGATTCCAGTGCACACTCTCTGAATTGGCCAGAATCACAGACAGTTAGTAGGAAATCCTCATTCCCTTCCTGAATGAGCTGCTTGGATAGTGTTCTGGCAGATTCTCTGTCTTCAGAAGAGTTTTGGATCCAGCAACTCCACCCCCAGGCATATGCCCAAGAGAAAGGAAAACAGATTTCCCACCAAAAGTGTACATAGCACATTATTCACAAAAGCCGAAAAGTGAAACAATTCAAATATCCACCAAGGAATTGATGGAAAACCAAACTGTTGTGTGTCCATACACTGGAATACTCTTCATTTATATATGGGAATGGAAAACTGTACATGTTAGGATGTGGATGAACCTTGAAAACAGTCAGTGGAAGAAGCCAGACACAAAGGGCACATACTACATAAATGACTTCACTTATATGAAATGACCAGAACAGGCAAATCCAGAAAACACAGTGTGGATTCACAATTGCCAGGAATGGGAGGGTGGGAGGATTGGGATGTGACTCAAATGGGTTTGGAGATTCTTTGGGGACTCTGAAAATGTCCCCATCAGAGGGCAGTGAGGGATTCACAACTGTGAATACACTGAAAGGATTAAATGCGCACTTCATGTGGGTGAGCTATACTCAATCAAGTTGCTAACCTACATTTTTTAACATACTCTTTCAGAAAGGTGAGTGTCTGGGTGTCTGGGTTTCCTACTGCTGCTGTTTGAAATAGCCACACACTGGTGAAGAAGTTTGAACGTGAACTAGGTATTAGATGACATGAACAAACTACTGTTCTGTTAGGTGCGTGAAAGGAATTATGGTTACAAAAAGAAACTCTCACCTTCTGAAGACAAGCAGGTGGACAAATTAAGGACAGAGTTTTGTATTTCTGTAATTAATTTGTAAATGTTCCAGAGAAAAACTGAAAAACAGATTTAAAATTTAGAAGTTAGTTAGGTAGATGCAGATAGATACATGGCAAATATAACCAATAATATGAAAAATTTCTCTTCATGGTGGGTATATGACTCTTATTCTTTCCCTTGTATGTTTCAAAGTTATCATAGTAAAAAACTTAAAACAAATATTTTTCCTTATTTATAAGAGGGGACATGAGTGTGTTATACATGGCTTAGCAACATAGGCATGTGGTTTAGGGCCTGAAAACACCCAATCTAAGTAAGCTTTGGGCCCACCATCAGGTGCTAACACACACCTCACACTTGATGCAGTGTACATGTCTGAAAGGATGACACTCTCGACTTCACTGCACTGATTTCGGTTGCTTCCCCCTTAAATGGTAGATCTGCCCCTGACTGAGACACATCCTGAGCCCCGTTCAAAAGCCCTTCTCCATGGAAACAGTAGGTCCCCTTGATCCCAGATACATCCAAGAACCCAAACCCTTCCCTGGCCTTCCAATTCTCTCATCCTAACTCTGCACAGGAGCCCTTCCCTCCACGTCATTCCCTGCTGCCAGCTCGGGTTCCAACCATGTACTTACATCTTTTTCAGGTCCTCTAGGATTCAAACTATGCTCACTAACCAACATAGCAAAAAGCAAAAAGCAAGCCAACTCACATGGTAGAATTCATTTCTCAATTCCTGTGTCCTGTGTGTGAACTCTCTTTCATGCGGACACACCTAGTTTGTGAAAATATCAAACAAAGCACACACGTGACAACACAAACATCTGCCTTGAGGTGGATGCCCAGGTGGGGGCTTGGGGGAGTGAGTCTGTAGTGGGGCCGTGGGGCAGCTGGCAGCAGGCAGGATCTTTCGTCCACTGCAGTGCAAATGCTGATGGCTGTTCAGGAGTTGTTACAATAGACAGTGTGTGCGAGTTATGGCAGAATACCTTCGAAAGCTGTGTAATTTTGTTCCGTAAGGATGAAGTGAAAGTGTATGTGGGGGTTAGAACAGTGCTGGCGGTTAGGGCTGCTGCGGCCTTCCTGGTCTCTATCTTGTCATCAGGCTTCCACTTGTAAGGGAAAAGCCAGGCTCTTGGGGGACCAGTCTTTAGCCCATCACAGCATTAAAATGACTTTGAAATGTTCACTCGCTATACATGATGCCTCTGCGGTTGCTTCTGCAGTTGCACAGCTCTATATAGCAGCCCGCCCCCCCCCCCCCCCCCCCCACTGTAGGAGGCTCCCTTGCCTCTTACTCCCTCCAGCATTTGCCCCATTGGTCAGCTTCAACCTCAATCCAGTTGGTGCAGCAAGTAGTTTTGGACCGCAGGTGGTTCTTGGCAATGTAGCCCACACTCATTGGCCAAGAGTGCGTGCCACCCCTTTATGGGAGAGTGGCAGATCCAGTGCTTCTCCATGAAAAGGCCAACTCTCCTACAGTGAGGCCATACCTTGGACTGATAACAACGAAAACAAGCATTGCACTGTTTCATTGGAGCCGCTCATTTTATTTTGAATGGACGAGGTCATGGAGTATGCAGTGAGTATAGTGGCTGAATTTCTCACAGATAAGATTTGGAAAATTGTCAGAGAGAAATTAATGACATATGGAATGGGGCGGGCCCTAACAGTATTAGACCTACTGTGTCCATTTCTAATAAAAAAGGGTGCTAATACTTGCACTTCGCAAGACACCTTCAGCTGCATACTACCTGGTGGATGTGCAAAGTTTACAAAGAAACATCACACATTTCTTCAGAAAGATGATGTGTTGTCGCCAACCAGCACAAGAGACTTTGGTTTAATTTCTGCCCATGAATCCAGACTTATGCTTACCCAGTGCTCGTGAATTCTTAAAGACAACCTGCCCTATTATAGACACACACAGCCAAGTAAGACACACAGAGTCCTGTCTTGGCTGCCTGGACCAATTCTTCCACCGCGGATTCAACAACCACCGGCGGTAAATTTTCATTCTGAACTTTGTTTTCATCGTGGGACTAACTCTACCCCCCTGACAAAGAAGATGAAGGTGAAACCGAGAGAAGGAAGGATTGCCCGACTGGAACATGGTCTCAGGACTGGTCTGTGCTGACTCCCTTCTCACTTTCGGGTGAGTGGCCTGGGCTCTGAGCAGGGAGGGACCCAAATCTGCAGGGAGCACAGGAAGGGCCGGGAGGACAGCTCCATGGGGCAAGAGGTGCCAGTGCTTGAGCTTGTATGGGGCTTTGGGGGTGGGGAGGGCTGAAACCTGAAATTCTGGAGCGGGGCCTTGAGGAGGCTTTGAAAACATCCTGCCCCCGCGATGAAGAGCAGGAGAGGGCACCAGAAGTGCACGAACTGGGTGCTTGTGTTTGGCGGGGAAGGCCCGGGGAGGGGGGGGCGGCAACGGCATTTCGCGATTCGAGGGAAGGAGTCAACATAACATGGCCGCCCTGGGGCAGTCCGGGCAATGATTTGGCCTCTGAGCCGGGGCAGAGCCAGGTCCTGATCTGCAGGGAACCCACGAAGCGGGGAGGACAGCTCCATGGGGTAAGAGGGGCGAGTGCAATGAGCCTGCACGGGATTTAGGGGATGGGGGGGGGGGTTCAAAGGTGAGATTATGGAGTCGGGCTTGAGGAGGCTTAGAAAGTCTCTTGCCTCAGTATGAAGAGCGGGAGCGGGCGCCATAAGTGCAGTTACTGGGCGCTGGGGGAGGGGGGCGCATTTCCGGATATGAGGGGCCACCAGGAGGAAGTGCGCTGATCTGGACTGTGAGCAGGGGAGGGCAGCCGGTAGGGGAGGAGGAGTTCCACTCAAAGGTGGAACTCTGCGGTGGGGCCTTGAGGAGGCTGAGAAAGCCTCCTGCCTCAGTATGAAGAGCGGGAGCGGGCGCCATAAGTGCAGTTACTGGGCGCTGGGGAGGGGGGGCGCATTTCTGGATATGAGGGGCCACCAGGAGGAAGTGCGCTGATCTGGACTGTGAGCAGGGGAGGGCAGCCGGTAGGGGAGGAGGAGTTTCACTCAAAGGTGGAACTCTGCGGTGGGGCCTTGAGGAGGCTGTGAAAGCCTCCTTCCTCGGGATGAAGAGCAGGAAGTGCAGATACTGGGCGCTGGTGGGGCAGCATTTCTGGATGTGAGAGGAGGAGTCAGCATAATGTGGCCACCAGGGGGCAGTGCACTGATCTGAGATCTGGGCAGGGGAGGGCTCAGAGGTGAAATTCTGGAGTGGAGCCTAGAGAAGGCTTTGAAAGCCTCCTGCTTCATTATGAAGAGCAGCAGGGGGCGCCCTAAGTATAGATCTTGGGCTCTGGTGAGGGGGCATTTCCAGAGGAGGAGTCATTGCAGCGTGGCCACCAGGAGGAAGTCAGAGCAGTGAAGTGGCCACGGGAGGGTCCTTGGGGCAGGAAGACTCGGCGGCACAAATTAGCATCAGGACAGAGGGAAGATGAAGCTCTGTGCTGCAGAGGATCCCCCAGAAGTTTAAAAACAGAACTTGGTTGGGGAATGGTGTGGATTTGGACAAGCCCAAGCCCTACTAAAGGAGCATGCTAGACCTGCAGTTTAAACTGGGGGTGGGGGTATGCTAAGGCAACATTTTGCATAAAGGAATTGTGAAGAAGTAGTCCCAACCCCGGTAAAATTATTTTACCCTCAAGATTCACCCCTCAATTATCTAGAATAGTTCCCCTCTCATCCCCTTACCTCCTTCCTTCTTTCTCTGGGTTCTTGTGGGTGCCCCCACACTCCCAGACTTTCTGGCCCCTTGATCACAGCCCCATCCCATTCTTTAGAATCTTCTGGGCTAAGCACACTCCCAGCAGCTCTTCCTGGCCCTCAACACCCACCCCATCAACATCTGCTTCGTCTAGATTCATCTGGTGCCTGGCACCCCAGATCTTCTAGATAATTCTGGGCTCTGCAGGCTCTAAGCTCTTTCTGAGTTTTGTACCACTCCCTCCACATTTTTATGTTGTTCTGGGTTCTGAACGTTCTAAGGTCTTCCTGCCCTCTTTCACTGGCCCTAGCCACTCCCAGTAGGTAAGCTACTTTTCAGACTCCAGTGGGAGCCTCAGTAACTCTTACTTACTCAGAGATGTTGGCATCTGGATAAGTTGAAAGCCTGGCTGAAGGACATCTTGAAGCTCTTGAAGGTCCACATTAGCTTGCCTACGCACAACCAGAGATGCTGCAACCACGAGGCGCAGACCCAGCTTTGAGAGCAACTGTGTGCTCCTCAGCGGGTTCAGAACTGAAACTAACTGCTGTGCTGCCTCTGGAAACTACCTGTGACTTATTTTGTCACTGACTCAAGCCCGCTCTTCACCCTTCCGGCACAAGAGTTTAGAAACCTTCTGCTTCACGCCCCAACACTTCCTTTATTGAAATGGCCCCCGCACTCAAGTTCAGCCTTCTCTCTCTCCAGGGTCCTCATGTCATCCTTCAGTCTCTGCTCACTCTCTGGAATTCTAGCCCCATGGATGTTTGAATCTCTCTCTCAACCTTTTTCCTGCTCCCTGTCCCCTGTTGGCCTGTCCATCGGGTCCCCCCCCATCCTAACCTGTGAGTTCCTGTGTCCCTTGAGTTTTATATCTGGGTGTCCTCACTCTAATGCCCTTAACACACTGATACACACCCACATAGAAACATGTGTAACAGTGGAGAACTGTAATGGTGGGAAATTGTAACCCACCTCACCACTCCTTTGTCATCATTTCTGTAAGTACTAACTCTGACTAATATGCATCTTGTAGATGAACAGCATGCTTGTATGAGAATCCTGGGAACTAAATCCGAAAGATACAGATCCCGGCCTTCAGGCATCCCAGCTTTGGGAGATTTGCTGCCCTTCAACCATGCAGCCAAAATGACATGAAGCTGAGAGGACGTGAAGCACGCTGGACCATCACTTGCCTCATCAGAATGGCCTGTGTGTATGTGCGATAGAGAGAGGGAGAAAGATATGTTTGTGTATTTGTGTGTAGGCACAATGTTGTGGTACAAAAATGTTTACTAATACTTGGATTGCTTCTGTTAATTTTTCTTTCTCCTTCATGTGTCCGCTCTGTTGTGTAGACTGTGTCTCCCTTGTGGTCCCTGCTAATGAAGCCCTTCGCTGACCACTCAGGAACCTTGCGGAAGAGGGGGGTGTGAGATTGTAAGAGTTGGTCACAAGGGGTGGAGGGTGGACCAGAGACGGTTCCATGATGTGTCTACTACTGGGTGTTCAGGCTAGAGCTGGTCCAGAATGCAGATTGCTTCCTATAAATCCCCTCAGAGACAGTCTGATTTCTGTAACAGGCTGGTACCCTACCAGGGGCAAGCATGTAAGGTGTTTTCTCCTTATCTGGTGCAGTAAAGTTGAAGTTGTCAGCCTCATGATTGGATCTATCTTCTCCCTTAAATTTTAACAACAATTTGTATTCAGCGCTCCTTGTATCCCATCTAATACAAAGTGCTTACAGTATGACTCACTCAGAACACCACCTGTGTGGTTGGTAGGTTGTGCTTTGAGCCAGCTTGCCATCTAGAAATTGATGTGGAAATAGAGATTGAGTTTGAGATAATGGCCCATGTCAATCACGTCTGCCTATGTAATGAAGCCCCGATGAAAACTCTGGACAGTGCTGATCAGATGAGCTGGTGGTTGTTAAACCCATTGATGTGGCTGAGCATGAGGTGTCCTGCCTCCTTTGGGGGAGGACATTGGCTGCTTTGCCAGTGGAATGAATTCTCAATAATCTGTCCCTACATTTCTCTCCCTTTACCTTGTCCCAAATTGTAGTAAAACTATAATTATAACAGTAGCATTTTGTGTGGTGCTATGAGTCATTTCAGCAAAATATCCAACCTAAGAAGACTATGGATACCCATGAAGTAGCTCATTGGACAAAAGTGTGAGTGGCCTGGGAACTCCAAATGTGAGGCTAATGTTGATTTCAGGGTACTATTATGAAGGAATTTGCTCTTAATCACTGGAAAATGTGCCAACTCTGGATGGTGAGCTTCAGAATTGAGTTGCAGGACACCGTTCCAGTGGGGTTAGGGACCATAGACCTCAGAATAGGGGAGACACTGGGATGTGTCTCCTATCTAAGCTAGAAACCCTGAACCCAACTAGGATCCTCAGAAGAACTGGTGAGAAGTGCACTGGTGAAGGAACACTGCATCACTGAAATGCATGTGGTGGGCATCACCACAGAGATCAGAGCAGAAAACAGGAGGTCCTGTTACAGAACAGAACTTTATAGTAGCAAGAGGGATAATAAAATTTGGGAAGCAGAAGCCAGCATGCAGCCCTCATAAACAAGGTGAGAGTAATAACCATCATAAACAGCATTATCAGAGTGCAGCCTGGTGTGCAGAGGTGTAAAAGAGGGCTCCTGACATGTTGTCCTTAGGAACAAAATATATGAAAGGTCAGCAAGGGTGTCACTTAATAGACATAATCAAAAGATGAAGGGTCAGCCCTGGCTGGTGTGGCTCAGTGGATTGAGAGCCAGCCTGTGAACCAAAGGGTCACTGGTTCGATTCCCAGTCAGGGCACATGCCTGGGTTGCAGGCCAGGTTTCCAGTGGGGGCATGTGAGAGGCAATCACACATTGATGTCTCTCTCCCTCTCTCCCTCCCTTTGCTTCTCTAAAAAAAAATTAAAAAAAATATATAGAGAAGGTGAAGGATCAAAGGTGAAGGGGGGATTCCTCCAAAGGTTCTGGTCAAGATGGTGGGGTAGGTAAAAGTTGTGCTCCCCTCGCTCCATGATTACATCAAAACTGCAATGAAATTATAGAATAATTAGCCTGGAGAACCATCTGAAGACTAGCGGAACAGAGCTCCCATAACTAAGGAAAGAAAGAAGTCATGGCTAAACTGGTAAGAGGGACAGAGGTGCAAATCAGGCTGGTCCCACGCCCATGTTGAGAATCGGCAGGAATATCTTGACTGCAGGGGTCCCTCCTAGGGAGTGAGGGGTCCCAGCCCCACATGAAGCTCCCCAGCCTGGAGCTCCAGTGCCAGGAAGTGGAGTCCCCACACAGCTGCCTATGAAAATTGATAAGGAGTTTGTCCCAAGGAGATAGAGGGCTTTGGAAAACACACACCCCCTCTCAAAGGGCCCCCACACAGACACACTGATCAAAGATACTTACTCCAAACTTTACCGCTGGCCAGCAGCTTGAAAGGCACCAGAGACATTCTGGTGCATTGTGGAAAGGGGTGCATTGTGTGGCTTCAGGGAAAAAAGCTGCTGTTGTTTCCATGTTGAGCCCTCCCCACCCCCCAAATAGTTTGATGGTGAACACCAAATCTGTATCTGCATTAACTTGGTGAACATGGCTCACCACACCCTGATGACTCCCTGAGACCTTGCTCCATCAAACTCAGCAGGGATTTTATCTGGGTGAGATGGAGGGCTGCTGGAAACCCAAGCATCCTCTTAAAGGGCCTGTGCACAGACTCACTCACTCATAAACACTCAGTGGGGTCCACTGAGTGACCCCAGACTCAGCGCTGGTGGCAGTTGGCCTCAGGTCCCAGCGTGACTCATCCCACACGTCCTCAGTCCCAGACAGGGAGTGACCAACTGAAGATCACATTGCAGCTCCTGGCAGGTTACCCTGGGCCACACCCAGAATGTGGCTGACCTTAGCCTGTACCAGAACTCTTCCCCCAAATCCCCAGAACCAACACACCCTGTGGCCAGCTTCAGATGACAACAGAGCACCACTCAGTCAGCTCCACTAATTAAATACCCAAAGGGTGGTCTCAGCAAACACCAGAACAGCACTGGGGTAAATCTGCTTTGTGGGGTAAGCCCTTGCTGTGGTCATGGCCAGTCCTCGCAGCCAGTCAGCCTGAGGGTCAACTCCAACCACTGGCATGCCAACAGCAATCAAAGTCCAGCTATAATGCCAATAGGAGTGCAGAAACAGCCCACACAAAGAATGCCTCTGGTACACGCAGCTTAGGTGATCAGGGAGGCTGTGTTGCTGGGCCCCACAGCACACCTGGAACAGAAGACCACCCTGCCAAGTCTGTGAGACATAGCAGATGTACCTAATACCTAGAAACAAGCACAGAGAGCCAGTCAGAATGAAAAGATAAAGAAACAAGACTGAAATAAAAGAGAAGAATAAAATTTCAGAAATAGTACTAAAATGAACTGGAGCAAGCATTCTACCAGACAGAGTTCAGAACAGTAGTTAGAAGGTTGCTCAACAAATTAGGGGAAGAGTAGATAAACTCAGAACTCCAAAAAGAACATAGAAAACATTTTAAAAAGCATAACACACAGTGATTGAGAGGGGATGGGTTTTGCTGGAGGTGAAAGAGAGTATGTGGGGATAAATGGTAATGGAAAAATATAAACAAACAAACAAACAAACAAATAAAAAATAATAAAAGGACACAGAAACCATAATAAAGAACCAGTTAGAAATGAGGAATACATTAAAATTAAAAGGAGGAATACACTAGAAGGAATCAACAATGAGTAAGATGAAGCAGAGGATCACATCAGTGATTTGGGAAACAAGGGAGCAGAAAACACCCCATAAATGCAGCAAAAAGCAAAAAGAATTTTAAAATGCCATTAGTTTAAGGGACCTCAGAGACAACATCAAGTTACCAACATTTGTACCACTGGCATACCAGAAAGAGAAGCGAAAGAGAGCAAAACATTAAAATCTATTTGAAGAAATAATTACTATAAAATTACCTAACCTGGGGAAGGAAATAGAAACACAAGTTCAGGAAGTTCAGAGAATCCCAAACGAGAAGAACCCAAGAAGTAGTCCATGCCAAGACACATCATTATTAAAATGCCAATATTTAAGACAGAGAGGGAAACTTAAAAGCAGCAAGAGAAAAGCAGTTAGTTATCTACGAGGGAGCTCCCATAGCACTGTCAGCTGATTTTCCAACAGAAACTTTGGAGGCCAGGAGAGACTGACACCTCTGGAGCACCCAGTTTAGATGATCAGGGAGACTGTGCCACTGGGCCACACAGGACCCCACAGGACACCTGGTACATGAGACTACCCTGCCAGGTCTGGAAGACATAGCAGATGTGATGAAAAGCAAGGATGTACAATCTAGACTACTCTACCCAGCAAGGCTATCATTAAGAATTGACAGAGAGAAAAAGAGCTTCCCAACTGAACAACCACAAAAAAAAAATCTAAGAAAATTCATCACCACTAAGCCAGTATTATAAGAAATGTGAAAGGGAATTCTTAAAGAAGAAGAAAGAAAGAAAACTATAAATATGGATAATAAAATGACAATAAGTACATATTTATCATTCATTTTAAATGCAAATGAATTAAATTCTCCATCAAACCACATAGGGT